GTATACGCAGATGCACCACCTACTGCATTTATAGATGTAAAAGAAATTAGTGCGTTTTGTTGACCTTCCGGTGTGCTTGGTGGCAACTCCAAGCCCAGAGCCCGCAAGGTGGGAATGCCTATGCGAACATACTGCGGCTCCAGATTATTGGGATCATAATCATCCCAGAGATGCAGTTGTCGTCGCCAGACATTTAAATATCTGTCAAATGTGCGTTTACTACAGTCGTATTCAGGACGTGGTGTTATGGGGTGCATTGGGTTACGGAACTCACGATCACAGCGAGATGGCACAGCTCGAAGATAGTTACTATACCCCAGAGTCTCCTTGCCATACTGCACCTGGCGCTGTCGCTGCTGAAGACGCCGCTCACGCTCTGCCGTCTCCCCCATATTTATTTCTGATGCATAAAGTTCCACGCCCGTGTAATTCAAATGTTTTTCCTCAGTCTCAATGATCCGTAAAGCGACGGGACATCGGTAAATATCGGCACCTGTATTATTTCCGTCCCCACCGGATCGTTCGACTAAATCAATACTCGACATGCGCTTGTTATTTATTCCCACACGCGCTGGAATATTACGATTGGCTGCTGCTACTGATACCGCCGCAGCCGCGGGGGGCACAGTACTGGTGGGTCCATTGCCATTCATTGTGCTTTGTGTTGACATTGAAGCCACCGCTGTCCCGCAGAGACCACCAATTGGGCCCACTTGGGGGCCGTTGCTGTCAAGGGCGGCGATAGGGGATCGCTGCGAAAAGCGATGCAAAACCGACGAGGCGTGGCCTGATGCAATGGGACCGGATGATCGCGCAATGCCTGTTTTGTACGCCGCCTTGACGGTGACAAGGTTCTCCATGTTAATACCCGTATACCCCTCAAGCTCAGACTCTACCCCAAACATAGAGGGCGGTACCCCACGGTACGGCTGGTGCGTTGTCACAGTGGGGGACCGCATTTGCTGTACCGCTGCTGCTGCTGCTGCTAACGCGGGCGCATTTCTGGTCGGGGTGGCCGATGTTGCAACATCTGCCTTGGGCAAGCCACGTCCCACGGATCCCTCCCACACCGGAGCAGCAACAGCGCTCCCAATACCACCGTTCATCATGTTGTTCCTTGAGCCCGGTCGTCTATTATTCTCACTTATTGACACTGGCAACATGTCTGCGTCCGTATATGTCCCTCCTTATGTTTGTTTGTTTCCTCGTCCACCTCCCCCCCTTTCCCCTTCTTTATTGCTTCAACTCGTGTGACGGTTTTTTTCTTTCTTTTTCTTCTTTCTTTATATAAATATATGAATTGTTGCTGTGGTGGATTCGGCGCTTGGCGTTGCGTTACACCCCTCGCCTTCCTTCACACTCTCCTTCTTGAAAATAACACGTAGACAGGCAGAAAAGAGAGAAAAAAAGAAAAAAAAAAAAAAAAAGAACGGGAATGAAAAATCACGCATGCCACAAAATGGGTGTGGTGGTGTAACAAGCCAACAACACAAAGTTACGCACCGATTCATATGCAGGAGAAAAAAAAAAAAAAAAAGAGAGAAAGAAAGAAAAAGGGAAAAAGGGAAAGAGGGAAAGGTCAACAAGAGAGTGACGACCAGTCTTCGATAAGGCTGTCCAAATAGCAAGTCCCCAAATTGACACAATCTATACAAAAAAACGCCATATCTTCTTCCACTCAGACACTTTCATCCTAATCAATGCAGCATGCCAACAGACACGACACGACACATATATATATATATATATTTCTGTAGAGGAATCATCCAAATAATGAGAGCAACAAAAACACCACACCGTTTTTCTTATTTAATTAATTAATTATTTATTTCATATTATTTAATATTTTACGCTGATGAAAATGATGAACATTCTTCCTTATTAACACCTCGCAGAGCTGTAGGTATCATCATTAATTAATTAATTAATTAATTATCACGAGTACGTTACTCTCATTGTCTCATCTCCTCTC